GCCCCGCCCCTTCCCTCTTGCCCCGCCCCAGGCCCCGCCTTCCAGCCTCCCGCCGCTACACCAGCCAGGACTCCTGACCCACAGAGAGACAGTAAGTGGCCCTTGTTTCAAGCCGCCGGTTTTCTGGAATTTTGTTACACAACAGCAGAAAGCAAACACAGCAGGCAGTCAGTGACCTAAGGGTGGATGGCCTGACCACCGCAGGGAACAGGTGTGGTCCGGCAGGGCGTGTCCCACGCCCCAGTCCCCAGCGGGACGAAGCCAGTGTCCTCGTGCGTGGTGCCACTAGATACACCTGGCCCGGCCGGGTCCCGGTGACCACACCGCAGCCATTCACCTGAGCCCTGAGGCCCGACTGCACACTGACCCGGTGCTCAGGGCCGCAGTGGCATTGGTGGGGATGTCTTTATTCACAGTGGGTTGTGGGGGATGTTGACTGTCACCCGCCTGACCTGCAAACCGTTTGCCTCATTCCCACCTCCTCCTCCACGCTGTCCCCTGCCTGACCCCTTGGTCACAGCCCCGAGGTGCCCGGAAGCTTCATCTTCTCTCTTTGGTGAGCTCCAGCCCCACCTCCATGGAGGGTGCTGTGTGTGCACCCAGCCTTGCCGAGGGCCACACTGAAGCCACTTGATGACCAGCAGACACATGGGTGTGTCAGACCCTTGCACACTTCTCTCAGCCACCTCGGCGTCCCGTCAGGGCTGCCCTGGCCCAGGCCCTCACGTCCTCACCCACCTGCCCAACACTTACTGGTGAATCTACCTGATGAGAGCTGGCTGAGCCTGCACTCAGAGCCTCGGTTCTCTTATTTCTTCCCTGGGGGACCTTGGGTGAGTCTTTTGATCACACTTGGCCTTTTTAGAAAGTATTATTTGTACAGGGCAAGGATAATCCTTATTTTATCAGACTGTGATCAGGACTAGAACAGCACAGTGCACGTGGCCTAGGCAGCGTCCCCTGGAGACACAACACCGATAGGGGAGAGGTGACTGATTAGGGACAGGGTCCCCAGAGGTCCCCCATGTGCCCTTCGCAAGCTGAGAGCCAGGGAGGCTGCGGCGGCTGGGTGGAGAGCGCACACTTCCGGGTGAGGACCACTGATGCGGGGCCTGCAGCCCAGAGGCCAAGAGCTTGGGCTTCTGCTGTCCAGGGCAGGACAAGGCGGGGCTCCCAGCCGAGGGGCAGAGAGGAGGAGGGAGCTTCCTCTGTGTTTCTGTCCCGTCGCCCTCACCCTTGAAGTGCCCATCAGGTGGGCGAGGCCGGCTTCCTCTGTCGCCCTGGGATCTCAGTGCCTCTTCTTGCAGAATCCGAAGCTGATGCGCCGGAGTCTGCCCTGCATTGAGTCCCCGGTCCAGGCTGACCACCCTGCTGACTGCCACAGCCAGGCAGGGTGAGTGAGGGGCACCAGTGCCGGCCACACAGGAGGGCGGACAGCACACCAGGCTCCTGCCTCTCCACCGCCGCGGCCCCGCCCCTGGAGTCTGTGGTCTCTGCAGTGTCCCCCGCTGCGAGGCCTCCCCAGCCCAGCTCCTGCCGCTGCCAGACCTGTCATCATCCTCCCTGCCGACTTCCTGTCACTGCTGGGAAGTAGCTGTGGATTCTGGTTTCCTGGCTCGTCCTCCCTGCTGACCACCTCTCCCTCCACCCTTTCGCCCACCTGTTGGGTCTGTCCACTGCTGATCCACGATTCGTGTTCCATAATAATTATCTGTTGCATACATTTTGTGTGTGTGGTGCTGGGTGGAACCCAGGGCCTTTACACTGAGCTACACTCACAGCCTTTTTATCGTTTTTTATTTTGAGACAGGCTCACTCTAAGTCACTAAGTGGCCCATCTGGCCTTGAACTCGAAACTTCCTGCCTCAGCCTTCAAGAGTGAATTAGATTAGTGGGTTAGCTGGATTACAGGTGTGCGGCATCACACCTGGCTTTTTGTACACATTCTTAAACCAGGAAGACGCCTGTGGCTGCAGGGCTGAGGAGGTCAGCCGAGGGGCCCGCCCAGGTCTCAGAAAGTCCTCCACCTCTCACCCCGCCCAGGTCCACTCTAGCACAACCATGCTTCCCAAGACCGGCTGTCTTCTGTCACGCCCTGCGACAGGATCCCACTGCTCGTGTCTCTAAAGTTGTCTTTTTTGACCTTATTTAAGCTGTGTGTGCTAAGCTCACGCCTGGTCATTGTACGGAGAAGGAAAATTCCTTAGAGGGAGGGAGGGAGGGAGAAAGCTACTGAGTTCACCCACCTAGCAGAGATGACTGCTCATGTCTGCACGAGGTTCCACCCAGGCTGGTTGCCATACGTTAAATGCCATAGTGGTGTTTTTCGAGGTGATTTTACCTGGACATAAACGTGGATGTGCAACTATAGGCTGTTACGGGCAGAGGAGCAGAGTACTACCAAGAGCCCTGGTAGTACTGTCTGCTCTGACACCCACAGGCACACCCATGGCACGTGCACGGGCACACTCACGTGCACACGCATGTGCACACTCACAGGTACACCCACGGGCACACTCATATGCACGCCCACGGCACACCCACACTAGTGCTGCTGTGAGCCCCACTGTGCACTGCTATAAGGACACCTCAGAATTTACAGAAATGGTGTTGGAAGTCAGGCAGGAGTAGCCACGCCACATCCGTCCACCACAGACACCCTCCCCCCACTGCCTGGCCCCTCCCTGAGCAGTGGGGTGGAGCAGATGGTGCAGCCACAGCTGTGAGGACAGCGCTGGGGCCAGAACGGCTTGGTCCGATCCCCAAGTTACACTAGCTTCCTAGCTAGCCAACCTCTCCACCTCAGTTTCCTCATTTGTGAAGTGAGGGTAAGAGTACCAGCCTGCTAGTGTCCTGGCACATGGGGTGGGAGGTGGGGCTCCTCACCTGGGCCTCTCCCCGTTCTCTCCATGCCGGAGCAATTCCACCGCTGCCTCCTTTTGCCCCGCTCTGCAATCAAAGCCCAAGGTCTGAGGGTTGACCTTCAGGCACGTCAAGGTCAAGGGCAGCGCCAGCATCAGCAAATGCTCCCTGCAGAGAGTGCTGCTGCTGGAAAAATAAGGTTGGTGTCTGTCTCTCCTCGCCCCGACCCCACCTTCGCCCGAGGGACAGAAGCTCACGTGTGCGTGTGTACCTGTGAGATACACTTTCCAGGTGACACGACATGCACTGTTCTTGAAGAATAATTATCATAAAACAGCCACGTGTCGTCGATGGAAGATGACATGATTAGAGGCTAATGGCATATTTACTTCCTGGTATTTTATTATTTTTTGAAAATAAAAAATGAAGGTGGGGGTTGCCTCTCCGTGGTGGAGCACAGGCGCAGCACATGCGGGGCCTGATTTCGTCCCCCCCACATGCGGAAGTCACAAACAAGAATTTTATCCCATCAGAGGTGCAGAAAATCGCCTTTGAGTTCATTATCATTAGGCAGCCATTTGAACATCTTTTAAAAAAGAAAGGCAGAAGCAAAGGCGGCTGTCTGGTTAGTTTTGTGGTTCTTCTGGTGTGGCCTCTCCTGGTGCCGCACTAACTGCTCACTGCTGACGAGCTCCCGGGACGCTCCGCTGCAGTGACTGTTCTCAAGAGGATAGCATAGCTGTGAGGGATGGAGCCTGCGCAGGGCCCAAATCACAGCTCCTGCCGGAAACAGGCGGGCACGTGTTGGCAGAAGAGAAAGTCTCCCCGTGGTCGAGCTTGCTCTGCCTGGGCGCAGACTAGATTACCAAGATTGGGCTCCAAAGCCAGGTAGAAAGTCCCCACAAGAACTTTTAGGTGACTTTATTGGTCATGCAATAGAGACTGACCTCCGGAGTGAATGGAGCATACATCATGGCATTTTCCCCGTGTAAGTTATTTTTCTGTGCTCCTACATAAGACTCTCTCTATGCAGCTTCTAATCTTACAATTTCACTGGTGATCAAATTTTTTTTGGCCATTTTCTTTTTTTTTTTTTTTTTTTGGTTTTTCTCCGGTACCGGGAACCGAACTCACGACCTTGCGCTTGCCAGGCAGGCGCTTTTGCCGCTGAGC